ACTAGATGGGCGTTTAAGGCTTTACCATAAACACACATGCTCTAAGGCCTAATAAGACCAATTCAAGGCTTTCAGTGGTGACCATTCATAGAGAAATAGATCAAACAGGCATATTTTCTCTGGAAAATTGGTCTTGTTTTCCACAAGAAAATCAGAAGGTTTGAACTCCCAAAAGGGTTGTGACCCACAGGTTGAGAACTGCTGTAAGCAAAACAAACCCTAAAAGACCCCAAAGCTACTGGTTTCCATGCAGGATGCACACTGGAGTCACCTCTGGGAGGTACTTTTCTTTTTGAAGCAACGACACCCAAGCTCCATCCCATGTCAGCTCTTTCAGTGACTGTGGACTGGGGAATGGGAGACGTCATTTTCATTATTCCTCAGTAATCTCCAATGGTCTGCTGCAACTGAGAACTAACAAGACAAGCAGAAAACCCCAAAACAAACTCCTTTAGGATCTAGTCCTGGCTCTTCCACATTGTCTCCTCTTTAAACATAGTGAAGGGTCTTATTCCTTCCCCACCCAGGGTTTCCATCATTTTTCTATTTACAGTGGCACTAGAAGGAACACAAACATGAGAAGGAGCTGTAATCATTATGATAATGAAATGCTTAAAGAATATAATGTGCATAAAAGTCCACACCGGCCCAAAGTCTATTCTCAAACAGAAATGCATTAGAGATTATAAAAATCCCTCTGTTCAAATTTGTGACTGTTTTTCACATTGCACAGAATACAATCTTAAACTGCCTGGGGGCCAGCAGAGTGGCAGTGGACAAAGGTAGCTGGTTAAAGGCTTTGCTGTCAGTTAGGCAGGTCAACAGGCAAAACAATATAAATCCAGAAGTATACATTCAGGCTGCTGAGCAGATACTGCCAAGTTCATAAGAAATACTGAAATGGGTTGAGTTTTCTGAGACTCCTGAACGCAATGACTGTATCTTTTCCAAGATCAGGCAAGTCTAGAGTTATTGTTTTACATATATTCTACACTTCCCCCTTCTGAAGCCCCTAAAATTCGAATGTTTGTTTCTGTGATGGTGACTAGCTCATCTCACGGTTTTGTTTTGTTTGTATTTTCTCTTTTTTCTTCTATTTTCTCTTTTTCCTGTATCTGATTGAATATTCAAGGGAGTTGTCTTTAAGTTTAGATTGTTTTTTCTGCTTTAGATTATTCTCAAGTCTTTCAGCTGTATTTTTATTTGACTTGTTAAGTTCTTCACTTCCAAGGTTTCTATTTGGTTCTTTTCCATGCTAACTCTGTAGACTCTCTCATTCAAATTAGTGGTATGTTTCCTATTTAATTGTCTCTTTGTAGTTGCTCATGTTTCACTGCCTCTCCTTAGTTAGAATCACTCTTTTGAACATCTTATCGGGTACTTCATCGCTTTTCTTTACTGGGAGATTAGATGCCAGAAAGTTATTGTGCTCTATTAGAAGCATCACATTACCTACTTTTTTTTTTTACTAGTAGATGAATAATCCTTTGATAAAATGCCTGAGAAAGTGTGGTGATATATTGTGTACCCCAATAAAGCTTACCTGGGGATCAGAGGACTGAGCTAGACAGTAAATTAGACATAGAAGTCAGGCAGTGGTGGCACACACCTTTAATCCTATCACTCGGCGGGCAGAAATCTGTCTGGATGTCTGTGAGTTCAAGTCCACACTGGGCTACATGAGAGAAACAGAACCAGGTAGTGGTGACACACGCCTTTAATCCCAGGAAGTATGGGCAGGACACAGAAAGATATATAAGGCATGAAGAAACAGGAACTCGCTCTCTTGAGGCTGAGGATTTTGTAGAGGTAAGTTAGTGGCTGGCTGTTCTGCTTCTCTGATCTTTCAGCTTTCACCTCAATATCTGGCTCTGGGTTTTTATTATAAGACCTTTTAAGATTCGTGTTACAAGAAAGTTCTTTCTAGGCACATTGCCATGACTACATAAATAACCCTTTGTTCCCCTGTTCAGAGGTCAATGTCACACATCTGCTCTTTACACCAGTTTTTAAAAGTACATTTCCAAACAAGTGCAAGAACCATTATACGAGGGGAGACACTCTACCTTCTTATTAAATTTGGAAAGCCACAAGTCTGCCAGCACAAGGTATTTCCGAGCACAGACAGACAGCACGTCTGGTGCAGTGAGCAGGAACAGAACTCATCGGGGAAGGCAAGCCACTGAAGCTCTTCGCTTGACGATGCTCTCTGCCTTAAAGAACATCTCTTAGGCCCAGAACTTCATGTTTATAGGCTTTCGTAAAATCACCCAATAGTTCCCAGCTTTTCCCTCCCCTCAGTTCTCTTTTGTATCACTGTGTTGCTAGGCAGTAGTGATTATTACAATTTTATTTCAAATTTCGTAGGCTAGTAATGTTCATTGTTAAGTACTGATGTTTTATAAATTATGTATTGTATTTATCACTGAATTCACTGTTAATTTGTCCAATGTTTATCGTATTTCCCTATAATGAAAAGAGAAAAGTGTTGACTTCATGATAATGAATGTTCAATCAGTTCTATTTGTTCCCTTTAAAAATAACAGTAAATTTTTAAATTTGAGGCTGGAGAGATGGCTCAGTGGTTAAAAGTGCTTGCTGCTCTTGCAGAGGACCTGGGCTTGGTTCCAAGCACCCACACTGGGTGGTTCACAAACTTCTGAGACCCCAGTTCCAGGAGATTTTATGCCCTCTTCAGGCCTCTACAGGCATGGTGGTGCATGCTTTTAATTCCAGCACCCAGGAAGCAATAGCAGAAAAACCTCTGAGTTTAAGACCAGTCTGATCTATGTAGCAAGTTCCAGTGTGGCAGGGTTACATAGTAAGGCCCTCAAAAATATTTTTTAAAAATTCACTTTAGGGACTGAAGAAATGGATTGGTAGTTAAGACCACTGGTTGCTCTTCTAAAGGACTCAGGTCCAATCTTTTCGCACCCACAATAGTACTTACAGCTGTCTTTAACTCCAGTTCCAGGGCTTCTGGGGGTACCAGACATGCATGTGGCACACAGACATACATGCAGAAAAACAATAATACACATAAGATAAAGGTAAACTTAAAAAATATTAAAACTTCTTCTTTTAGCAGAGATTTATTTAACATGTTCTAATATCATTGTGAATTATCTTCTGCATGTCTATTTATTGTCTACAATGATTGTCTTTATGGTATGAGGGTAACAGCAGCCATGATTTTAAATATTTTTATGTTCACAATATTTTAAAAGTTTTAACCATAGGATTTCTTTAGAAATGTTTTATATGTAATGTGTTTTTGATAAAATCCATAACCCTATTCTCTCTCCTCAATTACTTTCCCTATACGCCTAATGTTCCCCTGCTGACTTCGCATGCTCTCTGTTAAATGCCTGCCTGTGAGTGCATGGGTCTGGGAAGATCTGCCAGAGGATAGGCAATCCCTCTTGCATGATGATTCCTGAACCTTGAGGGCGGGGTATGAAACATGTTTCATTTAGAGCTGAGCAAGCCACAGTTTCTTGCTCTCTGCATGTTGACTAGTTGTGGGCCCTGTATTAATCACTACCTATAGCAAAAAGTACATAAGATAGTAAAAACAGCTAGTCATGGCCTATCTTCTCACAGTTAAATATTTGTCAAGCATCAGAAAGTGAATCTTATAAAAAAATTATATTATACCTGAAATCTGTGAAATGGAACAAACATTAAAAAACTTTGATAGACAAAATAAAATAAATAAATAAAAAATCTTTGATAGACAAATACATACATGATGGGAATGTACACAGATGATCTTGACCAACTTCTTAACTCTCCAGTGGTAAATACCCAGAAAAGCAAAGGCTGTGTAGAAATGAAGGGTGATGACACCTCCTTATTTAAGGGACTTTGCTTTCACAGCAGCTACCTGGAAAAATGGCAAATTCTTGCCAGGGCTAAAGCATGTTATAAAAAAATTTAGCTTCTGTGAATTGACTTCTGGCATTGATATATGGCATTCTAGAAAACTCATTAAAGGGTATCAATAGCAAACAAGCAATTTTCTATAATTACTAATAGATAGGAACCATGTGACATGATACGATTAAAAGTAGGAAATCATTTTTCCATCTGTGAGCAATCACTTCCAAATGTACAGATCTGAAAAACTGCAATGAACTAGTTAAGTAATTGTAGCATTATACATTAGCCAAGGAGTGGACCCCTCAAGAACAGGCTGATAGGTCAGCCCTTCTTCCCTGGTGTTTTTCAAGGAAAACATTGGATAGGAGCTCTCTCCACATCATGCTCTGAAATCAACAGAGAAGCCTTGGCTCTGACTCAGCTGGTCAGAAAGAAACCCTGTACACCAAGGGTATGCTTAGTACTAGAATCATAGTACTAAGGCGAGAAATAAAAAGTTCATTGAGAGTAGTCAAGAAGTTTTGATTTTTGAATAGTAGTTTTGGGAACAGAATTCAAGAAACAGGAGAAAATACAAAGACATATCAAAGTAAAATGATATTTAAGTTTTCCTATAATTGGACTATTTAATAAATGAGTCATTTTGAAAAGAAAAAATGAGATAAAACAGATTCCTTATCACAAAATAAATTCCAAGTGGATTAAGTAAGCCAGTCAAACATAGAGGCAAGAAAGCACTAGGAAAAACCACAGGTAAGTAGTTTAGTAGTCTTACATAAGTCTTGACAAAATGCAACAGGATTTACACTCTAAAGGAAATATGGTTTGAATGTACCAAGTAAAAACATTAAACTTCTCTATTGGGAAGACACACTGTCATCTAGTTAAGCACACAGCCTGCAGTGAGAATGTCTGTAGTCCTAAAAATTGACCTAAAAACGTCGCAGTAGGAGAACAGGAAAAGGCCTTAAGACATACCACGATGGCAGCAATCTACAGAACAAATGATGCTCTTGGACGGTCACGAAATCCAACTGTTAGAAAAACGGGACGAATAACTGACTCCCATACACTTAGCCTTGGCCGCCTCTCACATCTAAGCTGTCAGATGCACTTACTGGACGCGATGCGCTCCTGGCTGGACATGAGCCTCTTTTTCACGGACTTCAACCGCGCTCGCTTGCAGCCATGTATGGTGGTTGTGCAAAGTTCTTTCAGTCTCCAGCGGTTCCAAAAGCCTTGCGGGGGTTTTAGACCTGTTAACATAATGTGTAGCCAATCAGATTTCACTAACAAAGAGTTTTCTACATCTCTTTAGATATAGTTACCCGTTTATTTACATTGATAGTTGCCGTTGTATACAATGCACAGATGCTTTGCATTTCAGTTGCGGAGTGCTCCTGACAGAATGACTATTGTCTTAAAACATTAGGTATTAATAGAAAGTTTGTTGTGTAGTAAGACCAACAGGCAGTTGGTTAAGGCAGGGTTGTTTACTTTTCATTGCTCACAAGAGAAGGATGCCACACTACAGAGGGCCACAGAAGGAAGACAGATCGGACAGGAGACAGCAACAGCAAGTGGATGGTAAATGCCTTGCTATTTTTTTTTAAGAGAATCACTCAGTCATTCCAGCAGGCTCCAGGACTCAAGGCTCATCTCAGTTGCTTGTCACCTGCTCCTAGGATGTCAAGCATCTGGAGTAAGAATCCAGTAAAGGAGAGGGTGGTTGCGGCCAGGGCTCTATGTTGGTTGAGCCATAATGATTATACCTATAATTATTTACCATTTCTAGAGACAGTCTGACCCCAAGAAGGTATGTTATTGGGTATTAAAATATGAAATGTGAAAGACATGATTCACTATTAATCTGGTGGTAAACTACTGTTTGGTTTCTGGGAAAGCCGTGTGTGTGTGTGTGTGTGTGTGTGTGTGTGTGTGTGTGTGTGTGTGTGTGTGTGTGTAATAATGTGTTGGTTCTCCTCCAAAGCTGTCAGATGTGCTCCGATCCGAACTTTTTTCACTGGACTTAATGGACAGCCATTAATCTGGGAGTGCCCTTCCCCATTATGTTGAGGACTACCTCTCTCACACGTTAGAGCCTTTGCTTCTAGACTCATTTCCTCTTCCTGTGTTTATTCCATAGTTTGTTGGGTATCTGTACAACAGTTTCACAAGAAAAAGATGAATTCAAAGTAACTTTCCAAAATGTATTTGCACATCTGAAAAATGCCTGGCCTTCATCCTTAGTATCACTTGACAGTTTGTTTGGGTGTAAGTTATGAATAATTTTCCCTCCAGGTTCTTAAGTCATTGTTCCATTCTATCCTAGTGTTCAGAGCCGCTGATCAGAGATCAGTGGCATTCGGTCTTTTGATCTCTCTGTTCTCTGGAAGACTTGAGTGTTCCCTTTCTGTTTTCCAGGTTTGAGGTTCACAGTAAGATCTGTAGCACCCCATTGTTTCTATGCCTAGTCCTAATGTCTTCCAAACTGGAAATTAAAATCTTTGCAAAGATGAGTTTTAAATGTACTCCCAGCCTATCTCTTCTCTGGATTTTTAATGTTCTTTTGGATATAATACAGAGAACTGAAACCTAAAAGTTGAAGATGAGAAGGATCAGTTTCTTCCACATGAGATAAATGTTAGATTATGGATTTTTTTCAGCCTTTCTCCTTTCTCTCTCTTTCTTTCTTTCTTTCTTTCTTTCTTTCTTTCTTTCTTTCTTTCTTTCTT